CACACACTGGCTTCAGGAGTCGTCTCCCTCCCAACCGCCTGGGCCGCTCCCGCCCAGCACCCACGCCTGAACTCGCCTTTCTCTTCGTACACTCGCTATCCCGCCGTTGCTGTCTTTTTTCCCTTGCCCCTGCCCTTGCGCTAGCCTCAGCTGCCGCTGCTGATCGCCCCGCGCCCGTCGCCCCTGCCAGCTCATCGACATAGCCTTCTCCGACGCCTGTTTCACTCGCACCAGGCCATCCTCGCCCGCTCCCTTGCTTGCTTTCACCACCACCACCACCGCCACCAATTCGCAGCCTGTCAGCCCTGCCTCTCCGACTCTCCCCTCGCCCAAGACCTGCGCCTCTCCACGCCCGCCCTCTCGACCGCGCCCTTGACGTCCAGCGCATACAATCGCATCACCGACACCAACCGCCCGCCCTCCTGCCCACTCCCTTGTCCGCGTTGGCCCCGGGGGATCAGACGGCTAGGCGAACATGAAGAGGGGGACGTCATGATGCACGTTAGCACACTGCGCAATGGCGCACCACGGCGACAAGACACCACCCACCTCGACGTGCCTGCTATCCAGCCCACACACACGCCACCCCGGTCCAGACGGAGATGCAGACGGTCCCTCGTGCCCGCCGTCACCACCTTGTCGCCCCTTATTCTCGTCCTCGTTCTCGCCTCTTTCCTGCCCCTCGCCAGCGCCGTATTTGTAAACTTCCGAGACTGTCTGACACGCATCTACCTCGCCGACGGCAAGCAGACGCCATATCTTCGCTTCACCCCCGAGTACGTCTGGGCAGACTTCAGTCCCGAATACCGATTGAACTTTACCGTCTACGGAAATGTCTCTGGCCAAACCCAGGTTGGCGAATACCCGCCGCTGGACGACGACAACTGGAAAGACCCAAACAAGACATTTGGCAAACTCGTCGACCTGAACGAAAACCAAAAACACTACACCACCCTCTTCTGGAACAACAAGGTCGTTTCTTACTCTGCTTACAGCGCACCCCCTGCCCGCTTTTGCCAGTCCGTTCTCAACACCAGTTGTCCCATTGCGCCTGCTTTCAATGCAAACGCCAGCCAGTATTGGACTTTACCAGCCATCACCGTTGCCCGCGATTTCAGCAGTTCGTATGCATTCTCAACATGGGCCTCGACAATGCGCATTGTCTCTGGAAACGACAACGCCACCCCGCTCGGCTGCATATCTGCCAACATCACACCGGACCTTGGCAAGAAGCTTGCAGACTCCCTTTGCTACTTCCCCGCCGCTATACTCGCCCTGGTTGGTATCGCCACCGTCTTTGCCGCTACGTGCAGTCCCTGGGGAACCTCAAACGTCTTCCGCTCCACGAGCAACTACGGTCGAGACGAAGATCTCTTGCGCTTAGTCACACCAGGTTTTGGGGATTGTCTGCAGTACATCCAGTTTATCGTCCTTGCAGGCAGTCTTAGCCTCAACTACCCAGGCTTCTTCCAGCCAGCCGTCAGCCAGGCCAGCTGGTCGCTTCTTCTCTTCAACCAAAGCTTTGTCAGCGAGGGCAGCGGCTCCCAGAGTCTCATCGATGGCATATATTTCGTCAACGGCACCTACGGTCTCACTCGTCTCGGCCAGTATGTGGGAATGACAAAAGACGAAGACATATGGGCGTGCATGGCCATCTTCCTCCTTGTCTTGATTGCCTGTGTAGTCTCACTTACTCAACTAGGATTCTTCGTCCGCTGGCTTGTGCGCTGGCTTACAAACACTCAGGACGGTGATCTGACTGGAAAGAACTGGGCGTTTACTGCTGGCAACATCGTGCGCGTCATTTTTAACTACTTTTTGCTTCCCATCATAGCGTTGTCGCTATTCCAGCTCGTTGTAGCACCGCGCTCGCCGACATCTGTCGTGGTTACCGCCGTCATCATGCTCCTCCTTGTCGCTGGTGTGGTTACATGGATCTTCTGGTTCATCTTTACCACGCGCCCCCGAGCCCACTTGTTTGATGATCTACCCACCGTCTTGACATATGGCCCTCTTTACAACACCTACTCGGACGATGCGGCACCATTCGCCTTTATTCCTGTGTTGTTGACGATTGTACGTGGCATTGCCATTGGTGCTATCCAGCCCTCGGGCATCGCCCAAATCATCGTACTTGCGATATGTGAAGTTATACTAATCTTGACCCTGCACGCCTTCCGGCCATTCCAATCGAACACGTCGATGAACGCCTACCACACTTTCTTTTCAATAATTCGACTTGTTTGTGTTTTGCTTTCGGTAGCATTCGTACCCTCTCTCGACGTTGATGAGGCACCCAAAGGCTGGATCGGATACATCATCTTGCTGCTTCATGCTATTGTTTTGATATTCGGCTTCTTCCTGAATGCTCTTCAGACCATCATCGAAGTGTCGGCAAGACTTGCCGGCGTAGGCGGGGACCAGAGAGGTGGTCTTACTGCAGTCTTTGGAAAGCGACAATTATCCAAGCGCAATCTTCATCGACATGCTCGCAGCAGTCTCAACTCGAATGCCGTCATGCTTGCCCATGATGAGAACAAGAACATCCAGCTCATGAGCAGTCGATCCCGGAGTATGTCTGCCAGTTCGGCTGTTCTTCTGAACCAGCCATACGACCGAGATAGCCAACGCGCGAGCGTAGGCTTTGACGGATTCAGCCAGGGTGACTTTGGAAACGCCAGTCCGTTCCCCGGGCAGAACGCTGTACCTTTCAACTTTCTGGGTGGTGGGTCGGGCCAAAGCTCTAGGCGACCTACCATGGGTGCAATGGATGCCGCCGATCCATACTACCGCCCTCCACGACCCAGAAAACATACTATGGACTCGATAACGGCGACCGCACCTGGGAAAGCTCCTGCCCGAAGCGCCGACATTGCTGATGCTCCATACTCGGACCAATTTGATGCGGACACGACCATGCCTTTCGAGGGTCCTTCGCGTAATTCCGGCACTCCAGCTCCGGCATATCTTCGACTGAACCGGGACGACTCTGATTCTAACCTTGACAGAAGGAACATTACCACGGACTATTCCGTAAGAGAATCGGACTTTTACTATGGTCTTCGCGGTCCTGCTTTGTCCTCACAACCAACGCGCAAGTTGAAGACTGGACCGGCGGATCCTATGGGCCCTGTTTCATCGGCTACAGGTTGGTTCAAGAGCCTGAATCTTCTTGGTGGGCGTAAGAAGGAAAAGAGCAAAGGTTTCGAAGTCGTCAGAAGCACGCGGATTCCGCCCCAAATGATGACTGTTGAAGAAGACACAACCTCACCCGAAATCACACAAGAGCCCTATCGGGACAGTCCAGAATCGCCTCCTCAGCCGAAGAATGCACCTGTAACCTCTGGTGTAGCATCAGCCGCCGTCTTGAGCGGCAACAGACGCGACTCTTCAGACAGCGAATCGGATAGCAGCGACGACGACCGGTTCGACCCGATGCATCGTGTCTCACCCACGGCGCCGGCTTTGGGTCCCATTGAGAGTTTTGGCGGAATTGAGCTTCCCAGTAGAATTGGGTCACGATCTTCCCGTATTACACAACCACCGGGGCCTCCAAGCCGTACGCCTACAATACCGCGCAAGAACTCGCGGCGAGTGGCGTCAACCGACTCTGAGCTGCTCCAAGAACAATTGCCAACGGCAATGGACGTCTCAAACTCGGCCAGTTCCAGATACCAGCATTCCCAGCAGAGCCATCACTTGATGCCAGGTGAATCTGGTGGGTTACCTATCCGTCTTCCTTTCGGGTCCAACGACCCATCACCTGAACGGACTCCTGGGCCCTCTGCTGCATCGAGCATATATCGTCACGACGGCGCCAGCGACTTGAATGCGCCAGGAGCAATTGGCACGGGTGAGCGGCCTCTGAGCACCGGCTACGTCCAGCATCACATGATGAAAGACAGTGTTCAGACCGACGGCTATGATGCTGGAAGCCATCTTGAAGCTTCGGCAGAAATTGTTGACCGCAGTCGCAGCGGTAGCACGCAACACAGCAGGCGCAGTCACAACATGTGACGGCCGCTTCTTTAGGACATTCCTTACTTGCACTTGTGGCATCAATTCTGACCTACTTTTAATACATGTCAACGCAGACCGTGCATTTACGAATCTCTTTGCTGTATAATTGCTCAAAAAAAACGGGGTTGGGGGGCGTTTGCCTTGGTTGGGCGTAAGCAGTGTGCTTTTCAGTGGCACATGCAAGTACAAAGCTATCTAGACATTTCATTTATTCATACACGCAGGACATGGAGAGCCGCTAGTTGAGCCCGCATGCACAATAGTAATTCAAAAATAATTTATCTTTCAAGCCGACGTTGCACGTACAAATGCTTTGCAGATGACCTGCAGCAGCAACGACCTTGTGGCGTTAAGGATCTGCCAGGGCTGCCCGGGGGATAGTTGTTCCGTATGAAGCTAAGGTGTGGCGTCATGTGTTGCGTGAAACCGCTAAGATAACGATAGGAGTGGCGCCTGAGGCATTCACACAGCACCCTCAGCGTGGTGCGCCCGGCCGAAACGCTCTTTGCTTTTCGTGGCTATGAATATCGCGTAGCCCGACCCAGCCTTGCTACCCTTCCTGCTTCGTCTTCATCTGGACTGCAGCAGTTGCCGCTACATGCGCCGTGTAGGACGAGTGGTTGAAGTTCCCCTGGCCGAGCCGACGCGCAAGGACCCACCTCCGCGCCTGTTCCCTCACCGCAACCCTCTGCTATTGATAGGTGAGTGAAGATGTCGACGCTTGGAGGTGTGGTGGGATGCTGACGGGAGAGAGCAGTCTTGCTACCGGCTACCTCAGCACGGTTCTAGCTAGGTAAAGGAGACGAACAAAGTGGCGGCACATTGCCGTATACCGCCCGACTTTCTCTACGTAGACACCAACCCTCCACTCTGTAATCACATGAGCAGTGGCTCTTTGGGTTGCTGTGGCGCCAGACTCACGCTCTTTGCACCTCTACAACCAGCCGTTAGATTCCTCACGCAGGCCAGATACACTTTAGATGTCTCCGAACGCTGCCCCGCGCCCGAGCGGACCTCATGCTCGCAGCTCACATGCCTACGAGAGTCATGGTGAAGGCGCGAGTAGCAATATACAAGGACAACGTGATATTCTCATGGGAAATGGCTCTCGACAGCATTCAGAGGCAGTTGTGGCGTCACACTTCCTGGCGCAAGACCCCGAAACGTGGATGGACTTTTTGAGAGACGGTACCGAAACCGACGTTAACCAGCAACCACATTCCAGCGAGCTCGACCCCGCTGCAGCCCACGAAGCTCGCGCAAACCCCTCTTCCATGCGATACACGCTCCCCAGCCGCCCCTCGCCGCGTACAGACTCGCTGTCCTCTCGCAGCTCTGACCGCAAGCGACGCCTGACAACAGCTGACTCGCCTATGAGGCGGCCATCGAGTATACGGATGCACTCTGAGACCACTGGTAACTCTAGTATGGACCCCATCGTCCTGGATTCCCCGCCTGCCTCTTTGCGAGCGCTTCCACCCACACCACCCGTCCCACCACAAGCCAACACTACGCCGGTCAGAAGGCAGAGCGATATCGTCCTGCCACCATGGCAGCCGGATAGCGATGTCACACAGTGTCCGGTGTGCAAGAGACCTTTTACATTTCTTCTTAGGAGGCATCATTGCAGGTAGGCTCACCACTCCCTTCTTTGTTGGGAGCGCTGTCCATGTCTTGACCAGTTGGGCATCCACGCCAGAATGGGCAAGAAGCTTGCAAATCGCAGGAGGAAACCTAATTTTGACAAAGCACATGCTGACGGTTGCCGACAGGAAGTGTGGAAGAGTCGTGTGCGCCACGTGTTCGCCACATCGTATCACTATACCCCGACAGTTCATCGTCCATCCCCCTTCCGAAATGGCGGCAAACTTCATTGATCTGACCGGGGATGATGAGAATGCCATGTCGGCTTTCGGCCCGTTCCGCAACCCAGCGCTAGGCGGAGGCGAGGAAGTCCGCGTTTGCAATCCATGTGTACCTGATCCCAATTTTAGCCCACCGCCGCAGTATCAACCCTCTGGCCGCGACCCGAGGTATCCATTGCAATTTGCCCCGTCTCCCAGGTCGCCCCACGCCCCACCAACGCACCCACGCGCTCATCGATCTGCATCAAGTGCGCATGATGCGTCACGGTTTGTGAATCCAGGACATGCTTATGTTAATCGCGAGGCTCCGATCGACAACAGCCAGAATAGGCGAGTGAGTTACCACGGCAGCTCAAACATCGGAGAGCGAAGACTACCTCCTCTCCCACCCTCTGCTACTCAACAGCAACATCCGCACCATCGCGCGCCACTCATTTCGCAGACGTTGTCAAGTAACCGCCCTCGTCACCGGTCAACCTTTGGGGCCGCATCATTTGCAGGATCGCCGTTTGGACAAGCCACTTCCACTGCAATCCCCCAACCGCTACATCCTTATCACGCACAGCTACCTCAGCCTCGACGTCAGATCGCTGAGGAAGACGAATGTCCTATTTGCGGGGACGAGCTCCCCCCCAAGGGATCTGATGGTGATGAGACGGACCGTACCCGACACATTGAAGAGTGTATCGCCTTACATTCAGCTTCTCCTGGTCCCAAGGCAATACCTGCACCACAGACATCTGCAAGTCTGCCTACTCAGCGTACCCGTGGTATGAGCAGTGCGGGAAATGGCGAAGGATCTAGCAATAGAATGAGCCATGCTGCGCGCGGCATGTTCCCCTATATTGCAACTGAGAAGGACTGTGTGGATGATGAGGGGGCGCAAGCAGAATGCACGATTTGTCTGGAAGACTTTGAGGCGGGAGATCGCATGGCGAGGTTAGTTTGTTGGTGCAAATTTCATGAGGTATGTTCTTTTATTGGATATTAGATACAGGGTGGAGAATGGTTACTAACAAAGGGCAGTCATGCATCAAAGAGTGGTGGAACAAAAAGGGCCGAGGAGCATGTCCTACGCATCAGTTGCAGGAATAACGACCTTACCGGGGCTCCTAAGCATCATTCCTTATTTTCTTCTTCCAGACGCTACATCGAATCGCCAGCATGACAGTCTCTTGGTTATAAGACCATTCGGTCAGGACATCCTTGGTTTTCACAGCACTCTCGCCCTCTTGTCCCCTTTCTTTTCACTACATCATTCGTCGTTGGCGTTATTTGCCTCAGGTATACCCTCTTGTCCCTCCTTTAGCGTTTCTTTTTTCCAGTCATTTTGTCATTTTTCTGAAGGGAGCGTCTATCATCGATAATTGATATTGTTTAGCATAGAGGTACTCATCAAGGAGGGGGGAGTGTGGTGATGGCATTGCTATGGACATGGGTTTAGACTCCGCTTTGGCGTAATGATTATTAGTGAAGTGCATTGTTCAACTGTAACGAGCTCCATGCATCCGGTACGTTGTATGGCAACTGGCTTGATCGGGCAAGTTGCTCACGGCGCCAAGATTTCACCAACAAAACCCCATTTCGTATCGTCACCTATCCCAACACAACTGCAATACCATGCGGGAAAGCTTCATCATTTCTAGGCAATCCTCGCCCGCGAACCCGTGGCTCGCATATGGGCTCTATTATGGCAGGTAATAAGTCACATGCGCCCAGATAAATCACTTCGGGAGATTGCACAGCCCTTCAAATCGTTCTCTCTGCGGCGCAGTTGACCTGGCGCGTCTAGGTCACTTCGTTCTATAAGACTAAATGCCTGCGCATGTTTCAAATCAAATTCGCTCTTCAAGAGTCCAGTTTCTTCCAATTGGCAATCCACCCCCTACTCGAGCATGAGATTCCTACATGATACAAGCGCGTTACTGTGCCTCCTTGGCGCATCGACCTTCGTCCATGCTGCTGACCTGCCGGGCACTGTTCAACTCGATGTTGTTTTTCCAAGAGACGACACCATTTACAAGCCTGTATACCCCTTTCCCGTCGTGTTCGGCCTCACCAATGGCTCTGTGGCGTGGCCTTACAGTCCTCATTGGAGCTGGGACATCATCGCACTTGACAGAGATCAAAATATGGACATCATTATCGCAAACGGAGATTGGGTCACTGGGGTTTCAGCCCTCAATAAGTCGGCTCCGCCCCAAGACACGCACCTCATCATTGATCTAGTCATTTAAATCCTCAATACCACATCCCGAAAACTACTTATGCGCTATACTTTCGGTATCAGAAAATCCTGCAACGAATCCACTGGCGAGATTTCACCTGATCCCGACCCCAGTGTCATCTCTCATGGCTTTGTCAAATTCGGCCTGGACCCTGAAAACGGTGATATACGTACCTGATCTTACCAATGTGGGTTCATGTGCCACCCCAGTCGCCTCTATGCGCATAGAGAAAGAGATAATCAGCTCCACAGGGCCGTATCCCATCCTGGCACTTGGAATGCAACCCACAAATTCCTGTGCTATTCCACTGAACAACACGCTTGCCGATCAGGTTGCTGAACTTATGCTCCAAGAGACTCAATGTCCAGACCAAAACTGGCCGAATGTAACGGGACTTGTGCGAGAATGCCGGCCAGACTTGTCGGGGGATACCAGGCTTAGGGGTAATGGGATGCTTTTGTTTTATGTGACTGTCTTTGCGGGCTTCGTCATCTTCTCGCTCATGTAATTATACCTGTTCTGATACTGCAGTTCCTTACCGTATACTGTAATCATAGAGTAACGTTAATACTTGACCATTTTCAACCGTAAGAGATCAACTGTTGTACCATAGTGAAAGGGCTTATTTTGGATTATCTTCCATACAATTCTCATATTGCATCCGCTTGTTTGGGTGATGGTATCCCGTGGATGTGATACTACAGGAAAGCTTATGGACCTGGTCTATTCTGATTTGTGCTCGTGCACACCAAGGTTACGATTAGCCCTATATGCAGTCACCAGTATTTTTTTTATGGAAAAGGAACATTCGGTGGGTAGGCAATATACTGGCAAAGAGCATGAGACTGTCTAATTTGATTTACCATATTGTATCCAAAACACCATTGCTTTCACATCAGTACCAAAAAAAACATTACGAATACAACATTTGAACTGAGTGGGAAAAAAACCGTAACCTTCCGGATATCAAATCAAGTTCACTCCCGCATCTCCACAAGAATAGCCTCAAGCTGCTCCTTCTTCCAATCCTGCGAAATACTATAATGCGTATCATCCTCCTCCAACCTCAACACAACCTTCCCCCCAGCACCCTCCCGCCTCGCCGCAGTCTCAATCCCAATATTCGGCGGAATAAAAACATCATCTTTACCATACCACAGCTTAACCGGTAACTCCCTTCTAATATCTTCAATCTTGAATCCCCACCCCCGACACACCACCCTCCCATCCAGCGCCACACCCCCGAATCCCTGCCTCTGCGACTCGCGACCCGCCCTAAGCGCCACTTTCAAAAACGCCTCATCACTCAGAATGCGTCGATTCTTTGTATTCTCAATCGAAGCAAGACGCTCAGGCTGCATCATCTTCTCGAGCTTGTCCTCATCACTCAGCTCCATGCGACCAAAAACATCGAGCCTGAAGAACATTTCTAGTAAAAACTCCGGGGCGAAGCGCCAGCCGTAGGGGAAACTAATCCAGTGTACCATGTCGGCTTTCCACATACTCATGTCCGGGGGTCCCAGGCCGCAGATTACAGAGACGCATTTTAGGTGGGTGGCGGGGAGGGCGAAGGCGCAGGCGAGGGCGTAGGGGCCGCCGCCCGATACGCCCAGTACGGAGTACGACGTTAAGCCGAGGTGCTGGGTCAGGTTTTCGACGTCTTTGGGCCAGGAGAGAAGGGTCCGGGATGCTTGGGGGGAGCTGAGACCTATGCCGGGTCGGTCGATGGCGATGATCCTGGCGTTGAGGGTGATGGCGAGGTCGTGGTAGGAGGAGGCTTCGAGACGGGAGCCGGGCAAGCCATGTTGGTAGAGAATTGCGTGGCCGGTTGGCGAGCCGTATTCTGCGTATCCTAGCTTGCGTCCGTCGGGGAGAATGCAGGTTTTGGAGCTGTTGTCGTCGAGATTGTAGGAGGATGGAGGATGATTTTGGGGGTTGAGACTTGGGTCCGGTTTGTTTTCGTGCGACTCCATAACCAAGTGATTTTTATCTTGGGAACTGAGTTTTAGAGGGCAGCTGAATTATATCTTATCGAATGGTGGGATATTTCTGATTTTGGGGACAGATGCTGGGGTTTTTGAACCACTTTGAACGTCGTGTTCGGCAAGTCGGTTGGCCGATGTAAGGCGTCCGTAATACCACTCTCTCCGGTCCATCCCGCCGAACAACTCGTGACTAGCAAGGCAGCAGCATACATGTTTCGAAATATCGCGTGAGGGTAAACAGACTGTAAGGTTAGTAGCTGTATGTTCCAACCGATCGGTGAATTACAAAACGAATGCAGCAACCAAACGGTCAGAGCAGTAGACATTCAAAGCGGCCATAGTTCTGTGGGGTGATATTTTGGCTTGGTGGGACTCGTTGCATATATCAATCACATTCGCCAACCCATCAGTCGTCTTCAAGGTGTGTCTGTAGTACAGCACATATCGTTGTTGTCGTTTGAACGTTTCTTTAAGATCCCCAACGGGGGGCGACTAAACCCAAAGGAGATACCAAGGTTCTGCGCGATAGAATCCTCGAGCTTGCGAAGAGTGTGTTCTGGATTTGGTGAACTCTTTGTGTACATTCCATCTCCGTAGTCAGTACTTGGCCGCATTTACCTCTCCCTTACACGAAGTATAATAGCAGAATTTACAACATTCGTCCACGGGTGCAGCTCAGCCAGCATTTCCAGTCCAATCGCTTGCAAGTCCTCTGAGAGTTGTAGGATCTAATTTCGGCCCAGTCAGCAAATAGATATCCAGAACAATTGTTTTGCGCGCATTGTTGATTGCAAAGGGACATCCTTCCATATGTCCAAAAAGAAAAGGGTGACGATAACTTACGGGATAAAGCACACTCCTCATCCCCCTCGCGCTCCTCGCCACAACCAAACATCCCGGCTGTAACCTCGCAGCCAAATCCCTCAGAATCTCCAACTTAGATCGCGTATCAGTTCCCACGAGCGCAGCCAAGAACACAACTTGTGACTTCGTCCATGAAACCTCGGCCCCAGGATCTTCCTGTGTGATATCTTCGTTCGTAAAACTCATGCGTTTCGAGAACCCAAGTTTAGTGCATAGAGCGGCGCTGAGACGTAGGGCAGTGTCGTCACGGTCGATGTTGTGAATGTGTGCGGTGGGATATTGGGATAGAAAGCATAGGGATGTCAGAGGTAGAGGGCCTGAGCCGATGAAGGCAATGGAGGTTGGTGGGGAGGAGGCGAAGGCGTTGATGAGGGAGGCTTCCAGGCGGGAGAGGTCAACGTAGTTGTCGTAGTAAGGGAATGATTGGAGGATGGCAGTCGAGGCCGCTTCTTGGCTAGTGTCTTTGCGGAGATATTAGTATTTTTCTTTTCTCTCTAGGGGAAAGTTTTGCATGATGGTGACATACCCAGTTCTCTTAACATTCGCTCTGCGTGGAACTTTTCTAGCTCCCCCTCGGCCTCGGAACATATTGGACGTAACTTGTCACAGAGCTGCTCTACACCCGCTATGTTGAAGAAGTAGGTGGTGAATTCGGTGCTATAAGGCACCACACATAGATTCACCAGACGTGTCAAGAGGGTGTTGACTGAGTGTGAGGGCGCTAATGACGACAGCTCACTGAGCCTGGAGTGAATATCTCTTATCTCAGCTACTAGCTGGTGTGCTGCTGCGCTCGTTCCATTTGGAGTGACAGGTGGGGTAACTGTGAGGGTCTTGGCCAAGGGCGTTGGCTTGGATACATGGGTAGTTGAGGGAAGTCGAGTGGTCGTCATATTGAATGTTCAACAAGGTGCTTTCTTGGTAGTATCCTTTTATTGGTAATGTGTAAGATAGGAGTCAAAATTGCAGCAGTGGTCAAAATAGCAAATGTCTTATGTATCAAAGACATCGCGATCCACCATTAGGCATCAAGTTTCAAGAGTGAGGCGCGTGGGGTGCGTGGGTGAAAGCTAGCAAACTCTTTCTGATGTAAACCACTTGGTCAAAATAATAAGCATCAATCTAGTGGCGCTGGTTGGTCAAGCACACATGAGTACCATGCTGGTCATGTGAGAGTTTCAGGTTAGACCAAGGGAATTCGGCGATAAAATACGAATACGTGGGGTTTATTGTGCATTGAACATAAGTGTTTGCAGCAGGGCTGCAGAGTTTGACCTTGAAAGCGGGGAAATATTGCATTCTGCAGCTCCGATACCTACGTGAAACCAAATCAGATACCACTGCTTGCTTCTAGAGTTGGTCTAGAACAGAAGTAAAGGCGATCGTTACGTGGGAGATCATAAGAGCCGCCAGAGCCGCCAGAAACACCGAGCAATTTGATACGTTGGGACAACCCGAGCATGTCATTCGAGACGTGGGGGTGGAGAGATTCGCGGGCGGGTGTTGTTTTTTGGTGCATTTAACGGGGAACTTGTCCGTCGCTGGGCCTTTGGTAGACCAGTTTCCCGCCAACCCACGTTTCCCTTACTGTTGCCTTCCGTAATGATTCAAAATCCATTCTCTCCAAGTCCTCATCGACAACAATCCAGTCGGCGTACGCCCCCACTTCGATGACACCAGCTTTGCCTTCTAGAAATGCGGCGTATGCAGGGTTAACGGTAAAACCCTTCAGTGCTTGTTCGAAATTGAGTCTTTCTTCAGGATACCAACCAGTCTTGCCGCCGTCCGCATCTAGACCTGTTCTTGGGCTCCGTCGCGTGGTGGCCGCGTATATACCCTCAAAGATGCTGGCAGGCTCAACTGGAAAATCACTGCCTAGAACCAGCCCCTGAGATACCATTGAACGCATACGATATGCAGAGTCGCTTGTACGCTGGCGGCCAAGCCTAGTTTCCGCATACTCCATGTCTGAGGTTGCGTGTGTAGGTTGTATAAAGGGGATGATACCAAGCTCTTTAACTCGGACCTGATCATCCGGGTGGATGATTTGGAAATGTTCAATCCGGAAACGACGTTGTGATTGGCATTCGTGGGGAGTAACATCGGGGCACACCTTTTTCAAGGCAGCCTCAAAAGCGTCAATGGCGAGCCTGTTCGCAAGGTCCCCTATGGCATGAATGTTGACTTGGTATCCCTGCTCGGCCCACTTGAGCGTGACTTCTGACAATGCGGTTGCATTGACAAGGAGCGAGCCCGATGACGTGGGTTTGTCGCTATAAGGTTCGAGCATTGCGCTGCCCCAGCTGCCCAGTGCCCCATCTTTGTCATGTCAGCACTTCTCTTAGATAGGCAACAACTATTACATACCTGCGAAGAGTTTCACACTCTTGACTTGGAATTTTCCGTTTGGCATGCTAATCTTCTCCACCGCCTCCGGACAAAAGGTGTTTCTAGTGTCGCATTCAATCATGGCATTCACCCTAACAGTCCAGTCTTCGTCATTTGCGAGCTTCTCGTATAGCTTCAGGTCTCGTGGAACAACTCCAGCATCGTGCATCCCCACAATACCATACTGGTTCAAGTTGGCCATCGCAGCTTTGATGAACTTAGTCTTCCGCGCTGCGTCGGGCTTGGGATAGTGTTCCAGAACAATGTCCATGGCATTGTCGCAGAACACGCCCTTCTCAGGTATCTCACCGCCAGGCACATCTGGCAGTGGCAAGGGAAGAAGGTCGAGTACCTTTTCAGAAACCCAGATGCAATGAACATCCACCCGGTCCAGCATTATATAGAGGTCTTTGAAGTCTTTAGATATTTCTAGATCTGACTACCGTTATGTCAGCAAGCAATTTCGGCAATCACGGCATCAAACAAGAATCCTGCGACGAGTACGCATAGTGTCTAGCAAAAGCAATCGCGATATATGACCATTGTGATTGTTCCATCACGAATGATTTTGTGCGACACCATGGAATTCGACGCATACTTTTGTTTAGGGGTGATTGGCTCATCAAGGTATTGGTAACACGTACTGAGGTTGGCCACTGTCCGAAATGCGCCTGATCCCAGCCTACGCCCCTCAGCCACTGATCGCTTGTGCCCTCATCGGGACGGCCCGCTTTGTACTCAAGTAGCCTTTCCTGGACTTCAGCCATTGAGCTTGCACCAAATAAGCTCACAGAGTCTAGAGACTCTCCAAACTGTATTAGATGGCCGTGCCCGTCCCACAAGCCTGGGTACACGTATCCAGTACGCGCCTCCTTGACTTCATCGGAAGAAGCATCACCGGCGAAGACACTTGAGAAAAGACCGTCGTTGACTGTAAAACAATCTAGGTGTAATCGCTCCGGAGACAAGGTTTTGACAGACTTATAGCAATGAGTCGTGACGCGCAAGTTTGGGAGTCGATCACCAATGAAAGCCGGTAGTCCAAGCTGATAGATGAGGGCCACCAACACTACCGGGATGGACAGCCAGAAATAGACGCCTGTGGAGGGCATTGTAGCTCTTCAACGCCCGACTGGCAACGGCTGAGAGTTGAAAGGCATAAAATGCGTGAGTAGCATCGGGGAATTTTGTGGATTGGGGTGGGTAAGCGAGCACCAATGACGCATGGGCGGGCGGAGCTGTTCCTGGTCTATCTGCATTGGTCGATTTCCATGTACTAGACTGTTCGCTTGGTCTTCTAGGCGGCGCTGTAGAATCTAGACACATGGCACTGCCAGTTGGGTTGCGAAATGGTGGCGAGAATGGAGCGCTTGGGTGGGGATTTGGACACGCACTTGCACATGCACCCAGGCGGCTCTTGGCGTGTGTCTCGCCGGCTCCTTCACCCGCCCCCCGTGGTGGAGGCGATAACCAGCCATCTCACTTTGCATACAGCGGATCCGTCGTCACTCGCGTAGGTTGTTAGTCAAGCACTTTCGCTCTGTGCTTTAGGATCCGCACGCACCGGATTTTCAGGATTCTTGGCGAACAGAAAGGGCGGTGAGCGTCACCATCGAATTCGCATTCTCATGATTGCCTGTTGCAACGACCGCTCAAGGTCAATCGCCCCCCTTCTGGGTGAGGCTCATGCGTCCGCTCCACCGTGGCTTGTGTAGAGATTGGATGAAAGTAGTCGACCACTCAACAGAAGGCTGGGCCTGCAGCAAAGTTGGGTGGGGGCCAAGAAAGCAATCACTATTGCTAGGCGACATAAGCTTCACGACCTCGGTCTTTACCATCTGCCTTCTCGAGGCCACATCACATAGCGACAGGTCAGGCAGATGGCTGAGACAGAACTCGAGGTGCTGAAACAGCAGCTGGAGTCGCTGCAGCGCTCGCATGACGCCTTGCTAAACAGTCTCTCGACTAATGATATCTTCAAACCATCCGATGCTACCCACCTGCGTCGCAGCTCCACCCGGCTCGGTGGCGACACCGTCTTTGCCGATACATCAACACTTTCAGACGACAGCGACGACGACGAAGATGATTTCTTCGTCCAGGCCGAGCTCCCGGCCCACTCGTTCGACCATGAGCACCTCCGCGATCATCTCAAGAATCACTCCTGGGGCTTGCACGGCAGAGAGATATTAGCACCCATCCTCTCTGATCCTGTAAAACTTTCCAAACAGCCTCACCTATTTCAACAAGATGGAAATCCAGAAGATCGCAGCCATTACTCTCATTTTCAAGTCTACAGCGTCGGCCAGAATGGTGTCCCGAAACTAATCGAGGCTGCTAGTCCCGATAACGACATGTCCAATGCACATCAAATCTGGGAATCACTCAAGGAAATCCACAAACATGATGACGAAGTTGTGGTAGGGCGCATCACGATTGCGCGCGAACCTTCGCCCATTCTATTCGGCGCCCTACACCTAACTCTGCACAAAGCCTTCGATATGGACGAGCTTTTCCAAAAACTCGTTGAGACGGACGCGTCTTCTGCGCATATGTTCAGGGCTTTTGACGAGGACCCTAAGCACCAAAACACTTTCTTCTTCAATTTTGAGTATTACACAATTGTTGGAGAGGAGTGCAAACCGATGCAATGGCAGCTCGCTGACAAGACAAGTGGTGATTCCGAACACCACATTCCCTTGGCCCGATGCAGCGCCATCGTTGCGCTAGTCCTTCATGATGAGAACCCTCGCCGCATCCGTAATCGGGCAAGACGTGCCAAAACCCGTTTCGGATGGGTCCATGACATCTGGTCACCGTACCAAGTCCTCCAATTGGAGTGTTTTCCCGACTGGAAATCACAGCCAACGCAAGGAACCCCCTATACGTTTGAGAGTGGTCACAAGTTTCTCAACGGCGCGGAGGCTTTTCTGCATTCTCTTTTGACAGAGTACCGAGATGCGAGAAAGAGATACGACGAGATATACAAGCGCATCACCGAGCTCGTTACTCCCCCGCTAGGCTTCTTGTTTGACGAGAAACTGCGGCAAAATCGGCTTTTCGAAGATAAGGATTTTACCTGGACACGCCGGTATTTCTACGCCCACCAGACCCTGGGCAGTGTCAACAATAGCATCAAATCCATGATCGATGCTTTTGAAGATACCTTTACTGAAGATATCTGGGAGGGAAGGAATAAGATGTTGTGGCCGCTGTTTGAAGAATCTCCGCGGAACGAACATTGGAGACGTCGCCTGCGCTTACTAAGATTGCAGTTTGAGCGAGAAATGAAGGAGCTCCGGACAATCATAGCAGAGAATAATGAAAGAAGACATGAAATTGAGACGCTGCAGGAACAACTCTTCTCAGGTACGAGTATCCAAGAGTCCCGGAAGTCTGTGGAATTAGCAGATGTTACCGTGCACCAAGGCTACAACATCAAAGTCCTTACCATTGTCAACTTGTTCTTCATGGTAAGTCTAGAAAAGCATCAGGGTGTAGAGTGTGTTAAAATAGCAAAGAAAGCTTACTGACATCCCTGACAGCCCCTTACTTTTGTCACCTCCATTTTCGGCATGACAAACATGCCTGAGAAAGCGGGTTTCACAAACTTTGCAGTGGTCCTCGTCGCCATTTGCATACCCTTCTTCAGTATCATCGGTTTTCTTTCCACCAAATATGGCTACAGCATCTGGGCGCAAAAGACCAAAGAGCTCTGGCGCTTCATCTCACCCAAAAAGGACAAAAAGAAACTCCCAGACGATGAGAACGTACCTCCACGCGGTCATGTCAATCGTACGCTGTCTACACAAGAGGCTATGCGCACGAGGTTGGGTGCAAATTATGCAGTACCAAGGAGATTGTCGGGTGGAAGACCACAGCCTAGCCACCCTAATATTCAACGCATGGTACAAAGAATGGGCGAAGGGCGACAGAGCGGACTGATGCGGATGGGGACTTTGGTCGACGATGAGAGCCAAGAGTCAGAAAAGGTAGAGCCTGGTATAAAGAGGGGGAACACGATGATTGAGATTCGCGAACCATGATCTTGCCGTCTGTCACCGTCTCTTGTGTAGTAGCGAATACGGCCGCCTCCAACGCCAGAACCAGCACCGTGGTAGCGAACCTACATAAACTTTTGGAGTCGCCTCACCACTACGACTTTGGGCTAGGGCACTATTTGTCGGGCTGCCCTCTATTTTTTTTCATTCACATGATGCGATGTTGATGCCTAAATGATTAACACGGCTCTTATAGAAACGACCTAATGTTCACGAAGATACGAGGTAGATGCTATATGCAAATATTTATACTTATCACGCGCAAAATCTGCTACAACATATATGACGATAATAACGGTCTTTTCTGGTTCACGTATCAACAACCCCTTAATATTAACCCGTCTCTGTTATCGCATGCGCCATTTACTTCTTCATTGGACCATGTTCCCCTGGGTAGTAAGCCGCCACTCGGAATACTGCTGACTGCTGCGAATAACCTTAAATAATAAAGAAAGTTTACAGCCACCGGGTTACAGGTCGAATACGCGATACGGTGTCGGCGTTCTACTCCGAGCCCGGTCCGGCTTAAGTGATAGTCGGCGCTTTGACAGTGTTACAAAGCCAAGGAAGAATTCCTATACTAGGCAGATGTGGCTATTAGGGACCAACATGGTGTAGCGAACCTAGTTACATAGTCTCCCACCAAACCCCCATCGTATTCGCTTCTCTGTATGTCACTACAACTACAGTCTAGAATTTGGCGCTGCAGGTCGAACTTCATGGCGCAATGTTGTACTGTATGTTACGATAGAAATGGATGGTTTCATAGCATGCGTGTGGATGTCTGCCAAAGAAGTAGCGGAAAACAGCTATATGACTTTCAATACAACTAAGTATTACCATATGTCCTTGACGTCTTTTCAATTCCACCACTACTATCCTGCCAAACCAAAAGAAAAAAAATTGGGAGGGGGGGTATCCAAAATCTGCAAAAACACCAGCTTCTGCGTTTTCATCTCTGTTTTGTTTTTCTCTCTGACCAGAATCATGATAATATCCAATAGATATTTTGAGAATAAGAACAAAAGAAATGCAGGCTATACACAAAAGGATAGGTCCCCATAGATGCCTTTGCGTACACATCCATTACCCTGTTTTTCTTTATTTTTCCAGCTCCCTCCTCCTTAGAAAAGGAGGGGGTGCGCGGACACCCATCCCAGGATAGAAAAGAGAAATCGGTATATAAAACGTGACAGAAGTCAAAATGATGAAAATGGGGGTATATAGATAGGGGGTTTGTTTTTCGTTCATCGTACGCGAGGACCAGGACCGCCGCTTCCGCTCTCAATGTGCGGGCTCGACCAGTCGATTTGTGGGGACTCGAAAGTTTTCGTGATGGGCGGTGCGTCGCCGCTTGATCTGCTGCTTTCGCTGGCGGGGTGCAGTCCTGAGGGGGGACCATGTTCGCTGATTCGCACTTCGACGTCCATGCTCTTCATGATACCGGGGCCCTTATGTTCTTCTTCGTCGGTGAGGATGGCGCGGTCGCTTTCGTCGTCGAGGACGCTTTCGCCGGGAATACGCGAATGGTAGGCTTTGCTGCCTTGGAAGTTCTTCAAGGGGATGCCGTTGCTTCCTGCGGCGCCACCTCCGATGGTAGAGTGGCCGCCGTACCCGTAGGCTGGGGTCCTGCCTGAGCCAGTCAGGGTCGATGGGAGAATCTTGGAGAAGAAGTGATCAAAGGCTTTGCGAAGAGGTGGGAGCGATGCGATTATGATGCCGAGGGAGAGTTCGGCGCCGGACCAGATGGTCAATGGTACTCCATCCCATGTTGGATCTCTGGTTGAGACGATGGTTTTGAGCTCAATAGTCTTGAAGATGGAGCAGATTGTGGCGCTGAGAGGAGATTAAGTGTTAATTGGAGGGGATTCTAGTAGTTTTTGACGTGTTTGGACTTACGGGATACTGAGCAGAAAAACAATACGAATCCCCCACTGAGTTCGTCGGTTCAGTTGCACGTGTGATAGATAGATCAGAGGTGCAGCCATGTAAACAACATCAGTAATAATATTACTGATGCCCTGGGCGTAGGACTGTGGGAGAGTGCCTTTGGCCCAGCAGTGACTCTCTCCTTTATATCCAAAGTTCCAGTTCTTCTCCAATGGTGTGCATCCAAACAATGTAAAGACAGGGGCCAAGAAGTTCAGGGCTGTGACCATCAGGATGGACGCCCAGATAATGACTTGGTAGATCCTAGAAAAGTTGAGGATGAGCAGCCATGCACAAATGGACCACTTCAAAAATGCCACAGCAATGATGTCTGCGAACACAGTCAGCATATACGTTTATGATGAATGTCTTGATAAACGTACTGACGATCTGAGTGATCCATAGATAGTGGCTATATCTCAAGATATTAGGCAAGACAGTAGGGTCCATAATATGGCGACCCAGTCCATTGTCTGTGATAACCTGGGTAAAGGATGTTGCAGTGATATTGAGAGCCTGCAAGGGTTCAGGTCAGAACTGTGGACTGCCGTGGGAACAGGTGTAGGGCTGAAAAGTAATACTTACACCTGCGACGATCAACAGATAATCACTAGTCATGAATCTGCGAGATCGAGAAAAGCCGTAGATGATTCTCCATACAAGAAATACGGTAGCGATCAGCGACATCGACCACATTGGTATCAGGACTTCGAGCCGCCGATTGGGCCATTGCTGGGTGACTGGATCCATATCGTGCCGGGGTGGGACGGTCGGAATCAAGAAGAAAAAGAAAAGGCAGAAACGTCCATTCGGAGTCTGTGGTGTACGTAAGGATATATCATGTACGTGTACTTGGATTCAGGCCCAACTCTGTTAGTATGTTGGCCGCACCGCGTCCGACTGAGCAAAGCGTGAGTCCAAAGTCGACCGGCTGCAGAGGCGGGTGGAAGGGCCAGATCGATCATAGAAGGCCCGTACAAGCGCTCCAGAGCGGTTCTCGAAACGAGCCGGCTCGGAGCTTTGCGATACATACGCATCCTTACATCAAAGCTAATGAGCTGACCCAGGCTGTGTTTGTGCATAAACGAGACCATGCGCACTGCAAGCCGGTCCAATTGGAGAAGGGGTCCAGGGTGGTCGAGTATCCATGAATCAAGAGAATGCATAGAAGACGGGTCATCACATGTACGGAAACGGGGGAATCATGTCACTGTGTAGGTGGGATTTCCATGACAGAGACAGCGGATGTCGTAGACCAAGTCCTGTCATTGATGCATGACACAATGCGCAACAGTGGTGCAACGTGGTTTACACACAGCAGTGTTTACCAGGCGGTCGGCACAGAGCGTATGCGGGCAAATCAGGCACAAATCCATGGTTCGCGGCGGTGCGGATGCCTTTACGACTCGTCGCACGATGAGATGGCACGATGAGATGGCACGATGAGATGGCACGATGGGAGCGGGAGAGCCATAGGACGCTAGTGGGGTCAGCCTCGTTAGCGTCCGCTACGGCCGCTTTATTCCGTAGCCAAAGCCACCACACAAAACTCCGCGTCGTTTCCGTCTCCCTCTTTTCTCCTAACGCCTTGGAGAAGACGCCACAATATTGCTTCTGCTGTCCATTCCATCTTCCGGCATCCCCAAGCGAACCTCACCTTGTCAAGTCTATCCGCGTATAGAAGCATCATGAAGCCAGAAGCCATAAGCCCATCAGCTCATGGTATCGCAACACCCCCCCTCCCCCCCAAAAAAAACACCCCCCACTCACTCAGCCTATTCTCACGTCCACCATCCGCAGTTAGCATCAACGTCCGAAGCTAGCTGAGTCTATGCAAAACCTCAGGGTGAGAAGAAGACGGCACGGCAAAATAAGCTGAGGCGGACCACTGCCGGCCACACAGCCATTGGGTGACCGCCCCCCATATTTGCCCTGCCGATTCAATACCGAGACTATCCTCTAATCTTGGAGACGGCCCGTGTTCCTTTTGGCGAATGCGTGGTTGTGGCAACCACCACTTGAAGGTGCACACGTGCATACAGGCCATACACGTTCGCATCAGGGTCGCGTGGATTGCCCGTGTAAGTAGGGATGTATTGTAGATTACAGGGGACACGCGGCGTTGTTGATCCGGCCAACTGGCAACAGTTACTACTGGAAAGGCGACCAGCCCTAAGGATCCAAGTGACATTACATACCACATGGACGAATCGGCACATTAGCTTGCCGAGCGCCTTAACCACACACGGCAGGCGAGGATTACGCAGCGAAAAGTATTCCTGTAGCACCTAGCTGTATCCAAGGTTGACATGCAATCTGCAGCTATTCTGCGTAAAATCTCCGACACGCACTACAGGCTTCCCATGGCCATTATTTAATAACCTGTTTCCCATACGCATACATGGCAATGTTGTTTGTGGCGCCTCAGCCGCCGTTGTGGACGCCTCTGCCGTTGCTACGGGAGCCTCACATGTCGCTTAAACCCAAGCGCATCATCGTTCGAAACTGAAGTTTCTTCCTTGGACCCAGTCTGTAGCGGGGGTGGCGCACTAGTTGGCGAAAGTAAGATTGGCCAGAACATGCGGGCTCGCCTTCAGTGCCTACCGCTTCTACTGCCGAAGATCCCTCCATTGGGTGCATAGGCCGCAGTATCTATCCACTGAAACCCATCCTTTGGTAAGAATTGAATTGCCCTTGGTTCCGTGGACCGGGTCCCACCGGTGCCTGACAGGCCTCCCAAAGCGTCACGGTGCAGCCAGGGGCACGTACGCTTTGCATGTCCGGCTGCAGGATCACATCTATTGAGACGTCCCCTTTCACATCACCCCATTCTGTTCCTCTAGAACAAATAGGTACATGCAGTCAAGCATGGCTGCACCCAATGCATCAATTAAGCATTATCTCCCTGGCTTAGCGAGTCGTCCAAATAAGTATTTTCTATGTCGGAGGGATAAGGCCGCACCCACCATTTCCCACGTGGCGGACGAGCTCTCGACCTATGCAAGCAACGATTCAGCGAACAGTTCGGCCCGTATAAAGCATATATTGCCTGCACA